GGGGGGGGGAGAGTTGTGCTTTCAAGACTCTAGTTCTGTACCTTTTGCCCTGAATCACAAGTTCATCAATTCAATAAAATACACATGAACTGATCAGATTAGAAAATTTGACCTTTGCACATTGATCATGGATAACAAGAAAAAAATTGTAGGGACAACAAATTAAGAAATTTACTTTTATTGTAAGCTGGAAATCAAACAAATTGCACAAGTTTTACAATACAAATGAATCTTGAACAATATAATTGAATTTTGATTCCACGATTTGGTAATGAAGAACTGAATTATAAGTGAAATTGTAAAGAATGAAATATACAGAAATATAAATTACTATAATTTCTTAATTTAGATTCGACTTATTGCTCGAGGCAAGGTACCCATATCTTTAGCAATCTCTCTTAAAGTGAACTTCTGAATCTTTCCCGTCGCATTTTTTGGAAGTTCTTCCATGAACACTACCGTCTTGGGCACCATGTAATGTGACAACCTTTCCCTACAGAATTCTATTATCTCAGTTTCAGTTGGCTTCAGAGTCAACCCCTCCTTCAAACTTACAAATGCACATGGAGTTTCTCCCCAGAACTCATCAGGTCGTGCCACCACCGCCGCTTCATTAACCACAGGGCTCGAGTAAAGCACCGATTCCACCTCCACGCTGCTCACGTTTTCTCCTCCCGTGATGATAATATCCTTCGATCGGTCTTTGATTTCCATATATCCATCCGGGTGCATCACTCCAACATCGCCCGTGTACAACCATCCATTCTCCCTCAAGCATTTTGAAGTTGCCTCAGGGTTTTTAAGGTACCCCAACATTAAACACCCACCTTTTAGTACAACTTCACCCATTGTTAATCCATCTCTTTTAACACCCACACCTGTTTCAGGGACCACAACATTTACTTCAGTCAACCCTAAAGTCCTCACTCCTTGCCTAGCCTTCAATTTGGCTCTCTCTGTGGCTGGCAATAAATCCCACTTCAATTTCCAAGCACAAGACACCACCACACCACCTGCCTCAGTCAATCCATACCCATGAGAGACAAAAAAACCCAAAGATTCCGTCCGGAGGACCACCGCGGCTGGCGGTGGTGCGCCACCAGTTTGAAAATGAACTGGGCTTTTAAGTGGCTTGGCATGTGGATAATTTGCTAGCATGTTGAGTATTACTGGCGCACCACACATATGTGTGACATTATGTCGATTTATTGTGTTGTAAATAAAACTCGCATCGAATTTTCGAAGGCAAATGTTTGTTCCACCAACGGCAGCCATGCCCCAAGTGTACGTCCATCCATTAGAGTGAAACATTGGCAGTGTCCACAAATACACAGGCTGCTTCGGAACGTCCCAATTGATCAAAGAATCAAATGTCATTATAAAAATAGATCTATATGAATGCAACACACCTTTGGGGGATGAGGTTGTGCCTGAAGTATAATTTAGTGTCATTGGCTCCCATTCACTCTCGGGTCGAACCCATTTGAACTCCGGGTTTCCCTTCTTCACCATGTTCTCATAAGTATCAACAAAATCTGGTGATGAATCTTGATCAAGATGATCATCAGTGATGAGAATGAGAATTGGACGGCGCAGATTTTGTGGAAACAAAGAAATGGCTTCAAGAACTATAGATTGAAGATGGTAGTCCACAAACACTAGCTTTGATTCACTATGGCGTAGGATAATCGAAATACTCCTCGCATCAAGACGTGTATTAATGTCGTTGATTACTGCACCCGCCATTGGCACGGCGAACTGGAGCTCATACATGGCCGGTATATTCTGCGCCACCACTGAGACTACATGGCCTCTCTTAATTCCATATGATTTGATTACCGACGCAACTCTTCGGCACCGCTTGTAGGTATCGAGCCATGTATAAGTGGTCGTGTCATAGAGAATAGAAGTGCAGTCACAATATACAACTGCAGCTCTTTCAAGAAATGTTAATATGGTAAGAGGACAAGAATTTGCAGGGTTTGGTTTAAGCTGGTCCATGAACACTTGTGCACCCACCTACTCTTTGTATCTATATATTTCTCCAGAACTGTTGCATTAGAATTTGATAGTTGGGGTTTAAATATGGTTTGTTGTATCCCAATCCACATTAAATGCAACGGCTGACTGGTAGATCACCATTCTTATTAAATACAAAGTGCTCAACTGAATTCTTTCACGAAGAAAAGTACATTAATGAATACAGGTAATGTCACATTTTAGCCACAAAAACAGGTGGCAAAATGTGATATTATTGCTAGTTCTCTTATTACGACTGTACGACGAATTTCGCGTATTA